AGCCCGTCTCCTTGCCCTGCTGGCGCCACCCAGACGTCTAGCCCTGCCGGCATCAGCCCAGCTTCTTGCCCTGCCGGCGCCACCCAGACGTCTTGCCCTGCTGGCGCCACCCAGACGTCTTGCACAGCCGGCCCCAGCCCGGCCCCTTGCCCTGCCGGCACCACCCAGACGTCTAGCCCTGCCGGCATCAGCCCAGCTCCTTGCCCTGCCGGCGCCACCCAGACGTCTTGCCCTGCCGGCGCCACCCAGACATCTTGCACAGCCGGCCCCAGCCCGGCCCCTTGCCCTGCCGGCACCACCCAGACGTCTTGCCCTGTCGGCCCCAGCCCGGCTCCTTGCCCTGCCGGCGCCACCCAGACGTCTCGCCCTGCCGGCGCCACCCAGACGTCTCGCCCTGCCGGCGCCACCCAGACGTCTCGCCCTGCCGGCGCCACCCAGACGTCTCGCCCTGCCGGCGCCACCCAGACGTCTCGCCCTGCCGGCGCCACCCAGACGTCTCGCCCTGCCGGCGCCACCCAGACGTCTCGCCCTGCCGGCGCCACCCAGACGTCTCGCCCTGCCGGCCCCAGCTCGGCTCCCTGCCCTGCCGGCGCCACCCAGACGTCTCGCCCTGCCGGCCCCAGCTCGGCTCCCTGCCCTGCCGGCGCCACCCAGACGTCTTGCCCTGCCGGTCCCAGCCCGGCGCCTTGCCCTGCCGGCTCCCCTCTGGTCTCCAGCCCTGCCGGCTCCCCTCTGGTCTCCAGCCCTGCCGGCTCCCCTCTGGTCTCCAGCCCTGCCGGCTCCCCTCTGGTCTCCAGCCCTGCCGGCTCCCCTCTGGTCTCCAGCCCAGCCGGCTCCCCACAGGCCTCCAGCCCAGCCGGCTCCCCACCGACCTACTGCCTTGTCTCCCCTGATAGACTCTCCCTGGGCCGTCCCTCCTGCTCCTCCCTGGTGTTCCCTCTCTGCACCCTGGACGGACCCTCCGGCTCCACCCTGGCTCCCTGCCGGGGCCCCCGACCCACTGAATCCACCCTGGACTGTCCCTCCTGATCCTCCCTGGTCTTGCCCTCCCATCCCTCCCTTGTTTGTCTTGTTGGGTCTGGCTTGGCTTCCCTCCCTCCCTCCCTTCATGTTGTCTTGCCTGTTCACCCCCCTGTCTTGTGTCTGTTGATGTTGCCTGTTTTGTTGTCTTCTAGTGTTTCTTGTCTGTCTTGTACCTTGTTTGATGTTCCCTTTAGGGACGCCAGGTGGCGTCCCTTTTGGGGGGGGCTAGTGTCAGGGTTCTGCCACTTTGGTCTTGTAAATTCTTGTTTTGGTGGCAGAGCTCTGACACTTCTCATGTCGGGTCCTGTTTCTGTCTCTGTGTGAGCGCGCGCCGTCGTGGGTGTACGTAGAGTGTGCGCGCTCCTGCTTGACGCGGCCGCGCGCGCGCTCTGCGTCACTCAGACGCGTGCGCTCTTGTACTCGTGTTTGTGTTTTCGTTTGTCAGCAGCGTGGTGTTTCATTCCCAGCGTCTCAGTCTTGTTGGTTTCGGTTTTGGTCGGCGCTGGGATGAAGCATGCACGCTGCGTGTGTGTGCGCACGGTGAGTGCTTTCATTCATTGTGTGCTCGTGTCTTGCGTCTTTTGTCAAAGCACGTGGCTCGGTGTTTACATTGTGGTCACGTGCTTTTGTCGTGTGCTTCAGTGTTGTGTTGTGTGAGCGCATGGCTTGTATTGTCTCTCTGTGTCATGCGCTCTCCCGTCTATTGTCTTGTCCCACCCACCTTGTTACCTTGTTTGTAATTATTATTTTCACCTGTCCGCCTGTCTGTTTATTGGTTTGTCTTTCCTATTTATTCTCCTAGTGTGCTCTGTTCCGTGCTGGTCCGTTATTGATTGTTCCCTTCCCTGTTGCTGATTTCTTTTCTACAACAGCGGTTTAAAGTATTGTCTTGAAAAGTTCCAGATCTTGTCTAGTTGTGTGTGTGTAATATAATGTTGTTTTTTTCCCCACATGGGGAGATTTGAGTTTTGTTTTTGTTTTATTTTTCATTAAACTCTTCATTCCCTGCATTTGGGTCCTCGCCTCCTCTTCACCACCCCCATATCGTGACAATATCATTATATTTACACTTTGACAATCTCCATTTAATATTCACAGACAAAATGTACTGACTTGTAAGAGGTCTGTTTTCCGTGCCTCACCCTCGATAAGGATAAACCATTAAAGATTTATGCAGTACAAGTTTGATGGAAAGATATACTTACATTTTTGCAACATGGCAAAAAAATAAATAAAAATAAGGTAAAGACTACACATACAGTTTACTGCATCTTTGGCAGTACAAAACAGACAACTTACTAGCTGTCAAATAAATTATGACTGCAGGGCTGGATTATTGATTCAAAAAGACTGACTCTTGCACAACACTATGCCATGCTACAACCTCAAAACAATCTTCAACCATACTGTATGATTTGTAAAGTAATACATTTTGACATTTGCATCACACAGCCAGCTCTAACCAGTAGTAGCAACAACTTTTAGAAACAAAAACTGACATAATTGTGCTTAAAATACATCTCACTCGATATCAAACTCTTGTTTGTTGAACTGTTGCATAAAATCAATAAACAATCATGCGCCTACTTACATTGTATGCTCATTCCAACTTCATTATAATAGGCATCATCACACAGTTAAAGCATTTAGACTCTCAAGATGTGTTTTTTAGCTTGTAATTTTGCTAAATGCATGACATACTCCAAAATATTAGCTTGCAAGTCATTAAAACAACAATTAGCTTCATTCTGTACACTGTTAGACATTTTGTTGTATTTTTGTGGGAACCTACTGGCAGAAAGTTACCGCAAATGCCCCTTTACAGTAAATTACCTGTAAATGGGTTTTACAGTAGCAGGGTCCTACCGCAGTTTCAGTTTACAGCCTTAAAATCGCTGCAACATTTTTAATGATGTAATGCCTTTTAAACAATTTATTATTTTTTCAATATTATAATTTTTACAGTACTTTTACTGTAATGTATTTACATTTTACACTAGCAGTACAAAACTTTTATTTTTATTAGTATTTACTATTGAATTTAAGAAATTCCAAAAGGGTGACACGTTCTTTCACGAACTGTCGCATTTTTGTCTTCAACTACAGTGGCAGTGCTTGATTACGTTGATTACAGGATAATAACGCAAACTCCTAATATGCAATAAGTTACTGTAAAGTTTTAAAATGACCTGAAATGCAGAAGTAGGGTATGTCTGCGGACTGCAAAACAGTGGCATGACTTGTAGGCCTAGTAGAGGCATAACTTGAAGTTATGGTGACCCACGTTTCAAAACTATGTTGTCGGCACTGTTCATCAGTTATTAACGTTTACCCAGCCATCACAGTTGTTAACGTTTATACCTACCACAACCCTAAACCCAACCATCACCATTGTTAACCAGTTCAACTCTGCTGCTATTTTGGGATTTCCACCTGGATTTCGCCTACCCAAATTTAAAAGCTTCCCAAATCCACATGCAGAGGTGTAAATGCAAAAATTTGGTATCATTTTAAAGAAGAATATTTGAAGTTTTATAAAACACTGTGTTTTGAAAGTGTTTAAAATATCTGTATATGTTGTCTGTGTTATAATAAACTCTTAAAAAAAGTTAAGATTTTGATTTTTGTTTTTTATAAACTCAAATTTGAAAGTGTACCTTTTAGGTTCTGTGTGGTCTAGGGTGCTGTAAGTAATTTAGGTGGTTCCTGCACATGTATGTAATCACAGGAAAAAAGAAAAATGTCTTTATCATAATCTATGCAAAAGTTATTGTATTACAACTCATGAGAGGTGCTATACAAGCCACAGGGATTGTTTTCATATTTTCCAATTCTTTTGTTTAATCAAACAAAATTCACTGTGTTTGGACCACATCAGACATATAAAAGGATTACTTATGCACATCACCTCAAAAACAGAAGTGAAATGGCCGTAAAGCGCACAGCATAAGGTAAGAGATGACAGCTGTCTGTCTGTCAGCTGTGCAGCTGTGCTATCTGGGACTGCTTATTGATCATAAATGTAATGTTTTCATTTTTGCACCATGGAAACACCACGATTCATTCGACAACTATTTGATATGTGAATATAATTCAGTAAAAAGCTATAACAGCATATATTCAGCATTTAAGCTATAACTTGTACATGTGTCATGTATGAACCATATGAAAAAATAGGAAAATTAACCAATATTCAATACCCAGCTTGGGTATCGAAAATACTGTGTATTTAAGTGTAAATAACTTTTGTACAGTAAAATAAAAACCAAAGTGATGCATATGTGCATAAAATACAGATTCTACAGTTTCAAACGAAACTACTTACGAAAGTCGATGATGTTACAGACCTATCAGTTATTAACATCTACACCTTATGCAACCCTAAACCCAACCATCACAGTTATTAATGTCTAAACCTTCCCCATCCTTAAACCCAACCATCACAGTTATTAACGTCTACACCTTCCCCAACCCTAAACCCAATTATTATAGCTGTTAACGTACAGCTGTCATGACAAAACGGACAGCTAGTGAAGTCAGCAAGTGAAGATGCATGGTGGAGTTGCTAAATGGATGAATATAATGATATATTATATTAATTGTTTTTAGATAACTTTGAAGAAAACTGGTTTTGGATGAAAACATTTGGTGAAAATGTCCTCTGGTAAGCATTTCCGCCATCTCATTGTAACATCTCGCATGGTTCAATGGGACCTCGATAACTGCAAGTCTACGCCTCTCTTACTTACTACAAGTTACGCCCCTTCATGTTACGCCCCTTGTCTTGCAGTCCGCACACAGGTATACTTGCAATGCAGTGCATATTACAGTAGTGAACTGTAAATAATATATGTAGTAGTTTACTGGGCGTATTTGCAGTAAATAATTGTAAAACTGCGGCAAAGTCAATAAATATAACTCATCTTTCCACAAGCACATTCTTCGAGTGAGTTGGTTTGGTTTACTGATATACTCACAGCCATATAGACAGCAGCATAAACACTGAGTGCGGCCTCTTTTGAAGGGAAGGTCTTGCGGGCACGCAGGATGTCGTCCTCATTGCCAGTGCAGGCTTCCTGATGGCTGATATAGCGAAGAGCTTGCTGGCAACCCAGAGCTGTGAAGTTGGGTTTGCACACAGTCAGAAAATGAGGAGCCAAATTCCCCGTTACCACCTGACCGGCATTCACAAAGATGTCTGTGGTGAACAGGCCAAACAAGTATACACCTATAGAGAAACACACATAGATTGACATTACTACAATGCCCTTATAGCCAATGAGTAACCAGTCTGTTTATGTGGAAACTAATAATCAAACTTTTCCCTTATTCTAAATGAAACAATCTTATGATTAAGGTGTTTACAGGAGTTGCTTTTAAAATATTGCTTTTCATATGTTTGATTTGATAGATCGATTAAAGATCACGTGAATACATCTCAACATGATATTCCCCAAAGATTCCACATATTAACATACAGTTCTTTTTTGTCAAGATAATATATACAGTTATGGGTAGTGATGTACTGATTTTTTTTTAATTATTGATTTAAAATGGTGTTTTTGTTCTTTAGGGTATCTGCAGGTTTCTAAAAGTTATATTTAAGGCTATTTAAGACATTTTTAATACCACAAACCAATTTTATTGCACCGAAAATGCAAAAAAAAAAAAAAAAAAGCACACAACAAAAATAATAACTCTTTATTGCATATAAAAAGAGTATAAAAAAAACCTAAAATAATCTTTTAACTGACTGTTATTTACTAATAATAACAATGGGCATTCCCATAACTGCATTCTGTGGTGAAATCCCCATGAATGTTGCTTAACCAAGGAAAATCCCTAGAAGTACATGTTTCATTAGGTTCCTATTTTGTTCTGGGTGACAATCTTCTTTACAAGGTCAGTTCAATTGTATTTTTAAGATCTTTGAAAAGCATATTTAGGACACTTTAAGATTAACTCAGATATTTGATATTACAGAATTTAAGACTTTTTAAAGATCTGCGAACATCCTGGTTTTAGGCCAAAAGAGGCTAAACAAAAAATGGGCCAAAAAAGGCTATACTGTTCTATAACGCCAGCAAAGTCAGCTTTATTGTCAATTCAACCACATGTACTAGAAAGACAGAGAATCGAAATAAATACAATTACACTTATAATACGATTTAAAAATATAAGTAAAAAATAAAATGTACAGCACAATTACACGTAAGAGCACATGGCAATGAGTGCAAACCAGAGTTGTGCAGATACAAAACAGTATATATTGCAAAAAGTACAGTACATTGCAAAACAGTATATAGTGCAAAAAACTGGTAAATATGATAAATATGATAAAGTAGCGGAGTCTTAATAATATACAGCCATGTTATAATATTGATATTAGCATGTTTAATATACTACTACTACTACTACTACTACTACTACTACTACTAATAATAATAATAATAATCATAATATCAATAATAATATCAGCATTTTTGTTTAAATCTTCATCCATTCAGATGAATATTGGTTAAGTGGCTTTCATACTGGACGCAGAAAGCGTTGCGCTATGAAACCTATTAATTTCAATGGCTTGTGCCGTGCAAGGCCAGTTTGTTGCTACACCGTTCTGCACTTGTTTATGCACTCCTTTGTTAAAGTTCAAAATAGCTCACTGCTGCTTGCCATAGTGCTAGTGTGCTGTCAAGGTAATGGTGGTAAAAAAAATGCTTCTTGACTGTAAATAAAATTATAATTTAAAAAAGTAAAAAAAAAAATACAAAATTACTATTCTATATATAATTTTTTATACTTTAATAGTTATAAATAGTACATTTATACATTATTTACATTTTATATTATAAAATACTCTATTAATATACAATTATTCATTTTTTACAAAGCACTTTAGTTGTTTTTTTTTTTTTTTTGACCAAGTGCATCTAGATTTTTTCCATAATTTTCATAGAGATGCATTCCTAGTAACATTTTTTTTTTTACATTTTATAAAAACTTCAAGTGCCTCGGCTCAGTTGGCGTTTCTGTGTGGAGTTTGCATGTTCTCCCTGCCTTCGCGTGGGTTTCCTCCGGGTGCTCTGGTTTCCCCTACAGTCCAAAGACATGCGGTACAGGTGAATTGGGTAGGCTAAATTGTCCATAGTGTATGAGTGTGTGTGTGAATGTGTCTGTGGATGTTTCCCAGAGATGGGTTGCAGCTGTAAGGGCATTCGCTGCATAAAAACTTGCTGGATAAGTTGGCGGTTCACTCCGCTGTGGCAAACCCCGGATTAATAAAGGGACTAAGCCGACAAGAAAATAAATGAATGAAAAACTTCAAGTGCAGTTAAATATTTGTGATTGTCATAACACTGTTTATTTGCTGTCAAACTGTTTATTGCTGTCCTGTGCAAAACATGGTTAAAAGTTTGAAATGATGGTAATTAATGTGTGTACATGTCTATACTGCACTTCAATAATGTGACTACAATAATAATGCTGGATATTTCTTAATTAATTTTGTGTTTTCTGTTCTTAAAAGTTTGACATTAGCCAGGTTAACATTAATCAAATGTTTACATAGTAAATTGTTAATCAGTGTGTTGTCTAAATGGTGTTAACATCATAGCACTGTTGTCCATGTAATCATAGAGTGCCTATACTACACACTCCTTGCAGTTGATATTAAAATTCCTAGCCTTCATTTGACATTAAAAGCATGTAATCCCTTAAAGAGAATCCATCAAGGTAGGACTTAAAATATGTATCCGACAAACATGACCTGGAAAATTGGTTCAATTATTCAGTGGTCTCTCTTGGCTTATTTCTGTGGCTTCAGTTAGCACAGGGTGTACAAGAAGCGAAATTTCCCACTTAAGCACATTAAGGGGATGGATATGACTATGAGTAGGTGATCTCCATGGTGCACACATCTCTCCGCTGAGCTGTGAGGATGCATTAGATGAGCTAATGTTCTGAGCTGATGAGATAATAACCAAACATCATAATTGGGCTCAGTCTTTATCATCTGTGCTCTGTTAATCAAACCATAATACCTGAAAGAAGAGCTCAAACACTCAGATGTCTACGGGATTTACTTCTCATGTTTAGAAATATAGTCCCCTATCAAATGTACTTGAATTAATTTTTTTTTTTAAACATATTTACTTCCGAAGTTTATGTAGGCTACTTGTATGTTTATACACATAGGATGTAAATTCACCACTTTAGTTTGTAATGGTGACTGTAGTTACCTATAAGGATTATTTTCGGGGGCTTTGTAATATGTATTTAACATTTAAAATGAGTCAAAAAAGTTTTTCTAAATTGTTTTAAGACAAGAATGGGTGTTGTTTAATAGCTTTAGGAAAGCTTTTATGAAAGTTCCCAACTTTAGTTCCTAACCATATCGACCTAATAGCAACTTCTTATTTTCCATCTGTATTAATATACAATGTAACTACAGAAGGGTCCAGCTTTAACCTTTTCACGAGTGAGTTTTAGATACTCCAGCTGACCCTTCTGCATGAGCTTTTGGTGACAGTTACAGTACTTAGAATCCATTGTGTTTTAAAGTTCACACATCAAGTTTATTACATGACCCACCAGCCCCGATGATCCATGTTATATATCGTATTTTACTTCTTTTTGCCCTTTTCTTTCAATATTGACAAATGTTCTAATTATATTGTGAAATTTTTGATACTCCGATTCTCAAATATGTGATATAACATATATTTTGGCTTTTAAACAGCTAAATAATAATCATACTATTTGTTATATGATGGGTAATAGGCGTTGTCGTTGTTGCTAGAATGGATACAGCTGGAAGTTAACCAGATGTATATTATTTATTAAATTATGTATTAATTGAATTATATTTGTGTCTACCCATACCTTAACCCTAAACTCGACCTTGACGGTAATGCTATTTGGTGTACAGTGTCACAATAATGATGCTACATTGACATGAGTATCCTTAGCTGTATCCCATCTAGACTTTGCCCTCTCCTGCAGCGCAGAGAAATCAAGATGGGATACAGCTGAGGATACTCACGTCAATATAGCATTACTTTTGTGACACTGTACACCAAATAATATTTTTACATTGCCGTGAGGGTTGGGTTTTAGGGTTGAAGTAGGGGTAGACATTAATAAAATACTATTAATGCATAATTTAATGAATAATATACATCTATGTAACTTGCGATAGCAGCAGTATCTCTTATAGCAACAAGTGCAGAAGAGATCAGAGCTGATGCATTTACATCATGTTTATTCAGAATTTACATCCAAATACATAAAGGTAAGCAACTATTTATATGGGGGAGGAATAGAGTGAATGTTGTAGTAACATAAACAGTGTGTATCTTACGTGAACAAAGCAACTGTCAAGTTATATTTAAAAAATATTATTATTACTGTCTCCATAGACATAAGATTGCATTTTACAACCCTTAAATGGTAGGTTTTACTTGTAGTTATAAGTATTTAAATGTCTGAAACCTAAAATAAATGTTGTTTGAAAGCACGGATAAGTTGTGATTTATGAAATGTGCTGTGCACCTCTTTTTGTGGGTTGTCAGATTTGAATATTAACAGTTGATGACGTGCACTTTGAAAATACTAATCACACCGGTGTGATTGTATGCTTCAACGATCACACCAGTGTTAAAATGGGTTAAATAGGAAAATAATCAAAACTCTTGTTTGATTTTTTTTTTTTTTGCTAAAGCTAATTCCATTGGCCTAATCAGATTCAGTGATTTATGCTAAGCTAAAATGCTCCTGCCACATTAAATAGAATAGAATAGATTTAATTCTGATAAAACTCAACTGTTTAACTTCCAAAAAAGTTGATTGTTCCTCTAATTACAGGAAATCATTATGTTGGTTCATCACTCCTGAAGCAAAATGAGAACCCCTGAGCTTGAGGAACCCCAGAACATGATGGACAGATCACAAATTAGTCTTCTTTTTCATAATAGCCTTCGTTTTTTAGGGGTTTTACAATATTAGCCGGAGAAAAGAAAGTCACCATTGTTTCTAAAAGAGCTCCGTTTTTCTCCTTCACTCCTAAATGCCATGTTCTTTTTGTTTGCAACATCTTTTCAGCTCGACAGAATGACAAGCTCGACAAGGCTATTATTGTCGTCGCTGAAAGACTGGTATCAACAATAAGTCATTTTCATAACTGTTGGCAGACGCATTTAGACAACATTAATATAACAAAGTGCCGTTTAG